AGTAGAATCAACTATACTATTTTGGGATAAAGTACTGTTGTTTGATGTTTCTGTTCCATAGAAGGTCAAGGAGCTTTAAGCAAGACCAACAGCACCAAACTGCTGCCTGACTAATGGACTTGGACTGAACTGATTATATGCCAGCACCATGCCAGAAGGTCCATAGAAACCCACTGAATGAAATGAAGAAGTAAATAAGCCTAGAGAAGACTGACTGAACCATAGCTGGGTCCTGAGACAAAAAATATTATGGTTTTGATGGTACATGGAGTTATCAGTCCTACAGATATAATATATTCAAAGACTTCATTCATCTTGAGGTAGTTTTGGTTGATTATTGGTCTGTTTTCTGTACCAAAGGATCACAGATTTTATAGATCAGGAATTCAAGCAAGGCTCAGCTGGACATTTTTCTGATTATTGTGGCATCTGTGGGGGATATTCAGTGGTGGCTTGGCTGGTCCGGTGGTTTATAGATGGCTTCATTCAGATGTCTGACCCTTCGCAAGTATAGAAAGCTGGGCCCTGTTCCCTCTCCATATAGACTCAAGGCCTTTTCACATGGTCTCTTCAAAGAGGGTATTAGACTTACATGATGACTTAGGATTCCAGAGACCACCTTTGGAGAATCTTGACAGATCGTTGGAGAAAGACTGGGCCTGTAGTCCTATAAAAACCAAAAACCCACTGCCATCAAATCGATTCCGACTCATAGCGACCCTATAGGACAGAGTAGAACTGCCCCATAGGGTTTCCAGGGAGCACCTGGTGGATTCAAACTGCTGACCTTTTGGTAAACCACTATGCCACCAGGGTTTCCTAGAGCCACCTAAAATTGTTTCACTGGGAGATTTCCTGACTTTTTCATTTAACTCTCCCTTTGCATTTTCTGTTACTGCTTTTATATGTCTAACTTGCAGAAGTTAACTTTTCTTTCAGTGGTCCTTTTTAAAAATTTACCCAATTCTTTCATGGTTATAAAAATCTTACCAATGATAATTTTTAAAATGTGTTACGAAACATTTTACACATATATGAAATATAAATAGTAATGTAGCAAACTCACGTGTTCTACTTGCTAGCCTAAAGAATATTACCAATACAGTTGAAGCTGGAGGTGAACCTTAGCTTCTCTTTTTGCATCTTCCTCTCTCCCCTCCAGAGGTAACCAACATCCTTAGTTTGGTAGTTATCATTTCTATGCATTTTTTTAATTCTTTAATCTTTGTGTATCTGTCTCTTAACAGTATTTATTATATATTATCTTTTTGCATGTTTTAAAATATTTTATAAATCATGTCATGCAGTCTTCTGCAGCTTGGGTTTTAAAAATTCTTACAGCATTGTTTGATTCAACAATGTTTATAAAAATAATTTTGGTGCTTTCATTTTCATTGTCATTTACTGTTATATTGTATGAATAGACTACAGTTTATACATTCCTGTTCGTGGAAGTTTGGATTGTATCCAGATTTTTACTATTACATACATTGCTACTATGAACATTTTTAGTATGTCTCATATTGCTACTAAGAGATACTTACTACATTTTCTTGTGTGTGTGTGTGTGTGTGTGTGTGTGTGTGTGTTTCTCTAGGCTAGGGATGTGCAAACTTTTTCTGTAAAGGTCTAGATAGTAAATATTTTATGCTTTGCAGTCCATACAGTTTCTGTTGCAATTATTCAATGCCGCCATTTTAGTGAGAAGACAATAATAGATAACACATAAATGAATGAGTGTGGCTGTGTTCTAATAATGTTTATGGACACTGAAATTTGAATTTCATATAATTCTCATGTGGGTCACAAAATAGTGTTCTTCCTTTGATTTTTTTCCCCAACAATTTAAAAATCATTTTTAGCTTGTAGGCCTTAGATAAAGGAGGCAGCAGGCTGGATTTGACTGGGCCATAGTTTGCAGACATCTGCTCTAGAGTATCCCATAACAATGGAATTATTGGGTCATAGGACATGTGCAATTTCAGCTTTACTGATATTGCCAAATTGATCTCCAAAGTGGTTTTATCATCAGTTTTAAATTTTCCTGTTTCTTCACATCATCACCCACTTGATATTGTCTGACATTTTAGTTTTTGTGTGGCTTGTTTTTGTGTGATTAAGAAATCCTTTTCTACCCCAAGGTTATAAAAATATTTACCAATATTTTCTTTTGAAAGTTAAAAGGTTTTCCTCTTTAAAAAAAAGTTTTTAATCCAAATGTAATTCATTTTTGGCAGTGAATTTTTTCCAGCATCATTTGTAGAATAGTCTATTCTTTTATCATTTTCAGTACTACCTCTATCATATATCACATGTACATATACATGTGGTCCTGTTTCTGGGCTCTCTGTTATGGGCTCCATTGATTTATTTTTCTATCCTTGTGCCAATATCAGTTGCTATAGCTTATAATAACTCTAAATATATAGTAAAACATCTTCCCTCAGTCCTGCTTCCCCATACAAACACCTTATTTTTCTTTATAATTGTCTTGGAGATTCTTGGCAGTTTGGGTTTCCAGGTAAATTTTAGACTCGGCTTGTCAAATTTCTTCAAACTGTTGATATTTTTATTGCAGTTGCATTGAAACTTGACTTTGATTGAGTCTTCCTATGTGTCCATTTTATTTAGATCTTTAACATCTTTCAGTAAAAATTTTATTTTCTCCAGGAAATTTTTGTACATTTTGTGTTAAATGTATTTGCAGGTACTTTATAAATTTTCATTGCATTGTAAATGTTTGTTTCTAAAATTAGATTTTGTGGTTTTTTTTGTATGTACAGAAATGTAATTCATTTTTGTATGTTGATCTCATATCTAATAACTTCTCTAAACTTATTAATTTACATATCTTGCAGATTCTCTTGGGTTTTCCTATTATATATTTATTTCTTATTTTTTATATTGCCTTATGTAAAGATTATGTTTTCTTTTTCAATCCTTACAAATTTTCTTTTTTTTTTTTTTTTTTTTACTGTATTTGGCTTGAAGGTCTATCAAGTATGGTGATTTTTAAAAGAATGCTTCTAGTATCTTACTATTTACATCTGGTGTTGCTGTAGTTTTTTGATAGATATCTTTTATGCCTTAAGAAAATTCTATTGAGAAGATACTGCTTTTCTGTTTTAATTAGTTAAGAGGTGAATTATATTTATAGATGTTCTGTTAAGCAGCCTTGCATTCTTGGTGTTAAATCCCTCTTAGCCATGATTTTTAATTTTTTTTGTAGATAGGATTGAGTTTGTCAGTATTTTGTTTTCAATTTTTTCGTCTATGTTCATAAGTGAGATTGGTCTCCTATTGTTTTGTTGTTGTTGAACTATCCTCGCCTCTTTCTAATATCAAGGTTTGCTTTGCCCTGGAAAAGATTATATAATATTGAAATTGGACTAACCTTAAATGTTTTGTAGAACTCCTCTTTAAAACAATTTCTTTCTGATGTTCTCTTTGTAGGAAATTTTTTAATTTGCTTATTTTATGCTTATGGTATTTTTGGGGTATACTACTTCCTCTTGAGAGAGATTTGTTAATTCATATATTCCTAGGAATGGACAGATTTATTGACATAAAATTATTCATAGTATTTAATCTCTGATGCATTTGCAGTTGTATCTTTTTTTCTATTTTTAATTTGTTTTATGTTTTTCTTTCCCATCATTAAACTCAAAGAATTTTTTCAATTTAATTAAATTTTTCAAAAAATAATTTTGACCTTGTTGGTCTTCTGTATTATAACTTTATTATTTTGCCTAATTAATTTTTACCTGTTTCTTTAGTTATTAATGTCAAAGCAGGGGAGTGGCAGTCAGCTATGCAGGCTGGGGGATCAGAATTTGAATATGAAAGTCTGTGTCAATTAGGAAATCATATGAGATTTTTTTTTTTTAAACTTTATTTTGGAATAGTTTTAGATTTGTAGAGAAGTTGTAAAGATAGTACAGAAAAGTTTTGGTTACCCTTCAGCTAGCTTCCCCTTATGTTATCATCTTATATAACCACTGTATGTTTGTCAAAACTGGAAATTAACATTAGTATAATACTATTGCCTAAACTGTAGGCATTATTTGGATTTCACCAGTTACTCCACTAATAGCCTTTCTTCTTTTACAGAGTCCAATCCAGGATACCACAAAGTATTTGGTTATCATGTCTCTGTAGTCTCCTTTGATCTGTGACAATTTCTTCATCTTTGTTTTTTATAACCTTGACAGGTTTAAAGAGTACTAGTCATGTGTTTGTGGAACGTCCCTCAATTTGGGTTTGTCTGATATTTTCTCATGATTAGAATGGCATTATAGATTTTTGGGAAGAAGACTACAAAACTGAAGTGCCATTTTTATCATATCATATGAATAAGATTTATCACTGTTGATATTAATCTTGATCACCTTACTGAGGCAGTGTTTGTCAGGTTTCTCTACTGTAAGTTTACTTTGTTTTTTTTTTCTTCCTCCATACTCTATTCTTGGGAAGTAAGTTAACAAGTTCAGCCCAGACTCAGGGAAAGATATTTAAGCTTCATCTCTTGGAGGAGAGAGTATGTACTGTATTTTTACACAAATAACGCACGCCTTCTACGTTTGTTTGCCAGCCACGCCCCCCCCATGATGTATTTTCATAAGCACCACTATGCCAATTTTTTTTTTTTTACATGTTGCTATAAAAGAAAAGTTAGCAAAGCACACTTATCAAAATATGTTGTGAGGGGAGGGTGAGCCTGGCAGGCAAACATAGAAGGTGTGCATTATTTGTGTAAAAATACGGTACACACATTATTTGGAATTTTCTGTAAGGGAGATGTGTGCCTTCTCCCCGTTTAATTATGTATTCAATAATACATTTATATCAGTATAGACTCATGGATATGGTTCAAAGCAGACCTGGTAGCGCAATGGTTAAGCCCTTGGCTGCTAACCCAAAAGATTGGTGGTTCGAACCTACCCAGTGGCTCCATGGGAGAAAGACCTGGCAATCTGATTGCATAAAGATTACAACCAAGAAAATCCTGTGGGGCAGTTCTACATGGGGTTACTATGAGTTGAAAATCGATTCAACAGTACTTAACAATAAAAACAATCCAATGCTATTTTTATTTATTTTTACTAAAATTTTCTGGCTATTGAGAGTTTCTTCAGGTTGGCTTCTGTAGTCTTTTGGCATGCCTGTCTTTGTTTTTTAAAGCACCTCATTGTTTTCTGATGCTGCAAGATGTTCCAGGTTCATCTTGTATTTTCACTGACTTAGCCCAAGTTTATCAGCCATTTCTTCTATGAACCCTGACCACTTGTACTGGAGAATGGTATTTAGAACCAAGGCCTGGTTGTAGGTGTGCTTGTTGCTACTGAGGTGTCACTACTTCTAATCCTGCTCAGAGGACAGAGCCCTAGGTCTGTATACTAACTCATGTATATACACGTCTATGTTTGCTTCTGTATCTGTCACAGTATATGTATTAAAATAAACATGAGCTGATACTGATAACTTTAATCTAGAACTACAGGGATCATTCTAGTTTCCCCTCTTGTTTATTTGTAACTTCTTTATCTGACAGTCAGAAACCTTGCTCCCATTATCTACTATTTGTTATTTGTTCAACCTGGAGTCCCTGGGTGATGCAAACATTTAATGCACTTGGCTGCTAACCAAAAGGTTGGCAGTTCGAGTCCACCCAGAGGCGCTTGGGAAGAACTGGTAATGTACGTCTGAAAAAATCAGCCATTGAAAACCATATGAAGCACAGTTCTACTCTTACACCAGTGGAGTTGGAATTGACTTGATGGCACCCGGGTTTGATTTTAGTATATGTGTAAAGTAGTTTCAAATTTGCTCATGGTGGCTCATTTCCTACTATTTCATGACTTTTTTTTTTATTGTAAAATTCTTCAAAATTCTCTTTCTCAGTTTCCCCTGCCCCTTTTTTTTTGAGGCTTGCATTGAAGTTTTATTTTTCTAGAGTGAATTTATGTTTACGTCTGTTAGTTACTTCAGGGCTATTTAATTATGAGCTTTTCTGGTCCATGTAGATTGTGAAAACTCTGGCCCTTAATTGTGGGCTAGGAATCTCTGGGTAGTGGAAATGGTTAAGCACTGGACTACTAACTGAAAGGTTGGCTGTTAGAACCCACCTAGAGGCGCCTTGGAAAAAAGGCCTGGAGATCTGCTTCCGAAGGCCACAGCCTTGAAAACCCCGTGGAGTGCAGTTCTGCTCCGCAACACATAGGACCAGGAGTTGGAATCGACTCCATGGCAACTGGTTTGGCTCATTTGTTTGTTTAATTGTAGACTTATGGTTAGGAATTCCCAAACCATGGGGTAGATAGTCTTTTTCTTGTTTCAGTTCAACCTGAAAACTCAAAGCCAAGGACACAACATCACAATTAGCCCTCCTGTCTCTTTCTTCACTGACTCACTTTTTTTCCTAGTCCACCTGATAGGAGTGTTGCCCTTTAGGTCTTCTGGTCTTCAGTGTGACCTCATCTTGCTGGAGCCCCAAACTTGATCTTGTTAAAACCCAGACTCTGGGCCATCAGGTTTTTGTCATATGGCTCCAAGACACATGTCAGGTGAACTTCATTATCTGCCTGGATTCCCACTTTCTAATTGTTTATGGCTTCATAGGATTCCAACCATGCACTTACAAAAATTTTTAAATTCATAATGAGCATATTTGGTGTTCTGATCTGGAAAGGTTTTCTGGACATTGGGTATGACATATTGCCAACACAGAAAACCTTATTTTGCTCTTCTTCTGTTGAAAGGCAGAGAAGGCTGGCTGCGGTAGGGGAGAGGATAGTGGTCTGGATATACTTCTCATGAATAAAGCAAGAAAGCTAACAGGTACTAATTTCTAGAATCAATGATCAGGTTAAGATTTAGGATTAATTTTATGTATTGCACATACATTTATTTGAATACCTTCCTTCAATTTTTATTGTATCTTACTGAATTGAACTTCTTTCTATAGTAAATACACACGCATACACACGCACACACACACGTGCACACACGATGACTATAAATGAACAAAAACATGTAGTGTTCTCTTTTTAGTGTGCTGTTTTTCTTTTTGGAGGAAATAAGATGTTTACAAGAAATTGTCAAAGGCAAAGCAAATTGGAAGAAAAGCTAGAATAAGAAAAGGACCTGGGAAGTGCTCAAATTGATTTTATATTGAGTAGTTCTATTAATGAATACTTATCTCAGTTTGTTTTTATTTCAGCTTTGGCTAGATCAGAGTCTAAGAGAGATGGAGGTTTTAAAAATAATTGGAGCTTTGATCATGGAGAAGAAAGTGAAGGAGATACAGATAAAGAGTAAGGATTTTTTTTTCCTGAGATATTTTATAAGAATGACAGTTTCATTGGAAAAACAATTTATATTCTATGGAAGTATTTTTAAGAGTATGGTATTTACTTAAAACATTGAATTCTTTTACAGTAGCATTAGGAAAGCAAAAGCAATTCTTTATTGGTCAATGGTTTTGTTATATTTCTCTATCTTGTTAAATGTATAAATGTATGTATGTAATACATGGACATTTAGGAGTAAAAATTTGCCATACTACACAAGATTTATCATTGCAGAGGAATTTTTCTTTTTTGTAACAATGGCATTTTGTTCTAGCAGTGGTTTGAAAAGCCACTATTTGTCATGAATAAATTAACTCAGATTAAGACCCCTGAATTTTGTGTGGAAATTTAAGTCCTACTACAGTATGTTTCATCCCTTCTTAAATCTCCCCTCCCTCACATAAATCTTAGATCAAATTCCTACCCAAGAAAACAGAAACACTATGAATAGTAAACATAGATGTTCACCCAGACAGAAGTTAAGCAAAGTATTCAGTGCGCTTTGTTAACGTATTTGGATATATTGTTAAGGTATTTGGATTGACTGCTGTGTAAAAATTTTAAATGATAGTTTTAATAGACTCTTATGTGTGTTGGAGATTTGTATTACAAATCCGAAGTTGCTGTTGGTTTCTTATTGATCTGGTTTTCCACTGGCCAGAGGAACCAAATTTAAAGACACAAATACTCACACAGAGTTCTACCAAAACTAGATATTTTAAAGAATTTTTTACACAGAAGTCGTTCAGAATATATTGACACAATATTGTAGGTGCTTCACTTCTGTCTGGGCAACAGCTCCATTCATGATTACTACCACTTTATATGCCTTCACCTATGAGATGTTGACCTGAAGTGAAGCTTTATATGAAGGAGAGCTTTAACTGGTAAGTTTCTCGCTTAAAATCCATATTTTATGGCCTTCTTTCTTTCTTTTGATTATTTTTAATTTAACAGATTTTGGGGTACATTTATTGTTTATGTAGTTTTGAAAAATTGAAATTAAGATGAGCAGAAAGTGTACCACCTTTTAAATATTGCTGTAAAAGTGGAAAGAGAGAATATTAAAAAAGTTGAGATGTATGTAATCAGTAATGAAACAAAGCATTTTACATTTTTATTATGAATAACTAGTATTTTACCATAAATTGCTAGCAGAGTTGTCTTTAGTAGGGTATATTTGACTTTCTGTACTGGAAGATTTGCCGTGGTTATATATACAATTTACCTTTAAGGTGCTAGCGGTCCTGTACATTTCATTTATGAATTGTACTCTACTTCATCACTATAATTGGGTCCTTAGGGGCACCAGATTAACAGTGAACTGTTGATATTAGTCTGATCTTTTAGAATCTCAGATCAGTGACTCTCACTGAAGTTTTGATGTTCTCGAGTGGTGAAGGTATAGCTATTTTACTGTGGCAGTACCATCAAAATTACTTTCTTTTCATTAATAAAGATGTTCTTCCTTTATTAGTTTCTTCTGTTTTGTTTCTCTGTACTTCTCCCCTAATCGTCAGCCTGAGACAGAAAGGGAAAAATCAGTGAACATAAACAAAATCCGTAGTTAAAATAACAAAAATTATGTGTTCATTTAAGGTAGGGATTGGCAAACTATGGCCCATGAGCCAAATCTGGCCCACCACTTGTTTTTGTTAGTAAAGCTTTATTGGAACACAGCCACATGTTGTCTATGGCTGCTTTCTTACTACAACGGCAGAGTTGAGTAGTTGTTATCCAAACCATCTGGCCTGCAAAGCCTAAATTATTTACCGTCTGACCCTTTACTGAAAAAGTTTGCCGATCCCTGAATTAGGTGAGCATAAAAGAGAAAACTTTTCTGATTTTAATGTATGGGTTGTAATTGTTACTTAAGGCTTTTTCCCCTTATTTTCTATGTAGTGGGGCAAATCTCCTCAGTGTAGATGAAGATGAGGATTCTGAAACCTCAAAAGGAAAAAAGGCAAGTGTTGCATTTTTTAAAAAAATTAGGTTGTAATACTAAAAACTGTTGCTTTCAAAAGAGCTTTATGTTTTTCTTGTAAACCCAACCACCCACTTCCCTGCTCCAGAGACAACCACTTTTCCCAATTTCTTGTTTATCCTTCGAGAGATACTTTATGCATTACAAAGAAAATACTTTACTGCACCTCCGTATACAATTGGTAGCATACTGTACAGATTTTTTATTTCTTACTTAGTATGTCTGGGAGACCATTACATGAGACTCCATAAAAAGCACCCTTATTCTTTTCAGTGGATGCATAGTATTCCATTGTTTGATGTACCATTATTCAATACCACTGTGTTGGTGAATATGTATGGTGTTTCCAACCTTTTTTTCCTAAAATAATGTTGAGTAAATTAGTCTTCTACATAGGTTATTTTGCACACATGCAAGCATACTGGCAGAATGAATTCCTAGAAGTAAGCTATTATGACAATACAGTTCTAATTTTATTGTGCCCAGTTTACTCTTACATCAGCAGTGTCTAAGAGTTCTTGTTTTCTCACACTTTTGTCACAGCATTTTCAACCTTTTGATCTTTGCCAATGAAAAATAGTATCTCAATATAGTCTTAATTTGTATTTTTTACGAGTGAGATTGCACACCTTTTCATATGTGTAGTCCTTTCTATTTCTTAAAATTGTCAGTTATATCCTTTTGCCCATTTTTCTGTTTGGTCTTTGGACTATTACCAATCCATATAAATTCTTCATATTGATTCTAAAATGCTTTTTTTAAAAAAAAAAAATTCCACATCTCTGGAATCTGGATGTGTCTTATGGTGATGTCATGAAATGATTTGTCTTCTTTTTTTTTTTGGTACAACAGTACATATAATAATGGTGCGTCGTATAATGGTTTGTTAGGTTTGATAAAATACAGTATTTTGGAGAAACTAGCCCTTTGCTGTGATACTAGTTGTTGATAATTTAAACCAGTTTTTTTCATTAGTCTTTTATCTTTGCTTATAGTTATTGCCTTGTAGAAAATGTATTTTCTAGTGTTGTCAAATATATTAGTTATTTTTCTTTTATGGCTTTTGAGATTATTATCTTGGTTCCTAATTATGTTAACTTAATTATTTGCTTTGTACTATTAGTTTTATAAAATAGTTTCACAGTGATAATACCAATGTAATTACTAATAATTATTAAAATTTTAGTTTTGTTTATTTGCTTGTTTGTTTTTGGTAGCACCACTATGTATATCCTACTTTGAATGTATGTTGAAATTACTGTGTTTGAAAGTCACCTGAAATTATTTATTCCTACTTGGTCCTGCCACTAACTGGATGGAGAATTAGATTTTTTTTTTTTTTACTTTGGTTTTTGTGGGGTTTTTTTTTTTTTGGAATTTCCTTTTATTTTTATTTTGATGTAATTTGCTTTATAATTTTGTAAAACATTTATATGATTCAAAAGTCAAATCTACAAAAGAAATCTGGCTTCTGTTCCTTTTCCTTCTATCTCCTGTAGACAACTGTTTTAAAATTATAAGTTTAGTTTTCCATTTTTCTTTTTTTAGTGTACACTTATACCGCCCCCCCCTTTTTTTGTCATCCAGTCTGAAAGCTTTTTATTGTAATAGGGTAGATTAATCCATTTACGTTTTTTGTATACCTCCCGTCTTGAACTATCCACATTGTTTTAGCACCTTGATTTTTGTAATTTACAGTATATCTTGGAGATCATTCCACAGCAACGTATTTAGAGATGTTTATCATCTCTTTTATTGCTACATCCATTGAATGTACTCTAGATATTCAGTTAGTCCCCTATTGATGAACAGGAATTTTCTCCAGTCTTTACAGATAGTGCTATTACAAATAGGATTTTAATAAAGCTTTGTGCGTGTGTATTTTTGTATCTTTGTAGAATGTTTGTGAGATTGATTTCTAGAATTGTAATTGCTATTTTAGAGGGTAAATTCATGTAATTTTGCTAGAAATTGCCAAATTCCCCATTTCTAGGAGTAATTCTTGGCATTTCTGCTAGCAGTGTATTGAGAGTTCCTGTTTCCTTAAAACCTTGCAGAGTATGTAGTCAGACTTGCATTTTTGCCAGTCTGATATAGCACATTCTTTAGCTCATAGTTCCTGTACTTTAAATTTAGTAGTATTTTGGGGACTTAAATGTACTTTTTTTCTATTTTTCTGGGTGATTTTTTTTTCTCCCACAGTATCTCTATTTCTCACACTTTTAAAAATTTGTAGAATTTGAAGTTTTTTCTCGATGCTGTAAAGTTTTTCGTCATTGCTCTTTTTTCTTGCTTATTTAACATCTACATTCCCTAAAATGCTGCCTTTTAGATGTTCTTTAGGTAAACCAGAAAAAGGTGAACTTAGTTAAAGATATCTCCATCACTTAACTTCTATAGGACATACAGTAATCATCATCTTTTTTTTTTTGCTTGAGAATGGCCCTGAATTTTTGGAGCAAATATATGCCTTATTACACATTTTAAAGGGATGTAAATATTGATATTTTAAAAATAAAATGTGGTACTTAAATGTATCCGGTGATCTCTAAAATTATTCTGATACTCATCATCATTTATTTTAAAAATACATGAGCCATCTCTTCTTTAATAGTTGGAAATTTTACATCATTCCTTTCCTCCTTGAATTCATATTCCTATTAAACTTTCCCATAGAATTTAAACCTTATATAATGTATTTTTATGTGATTAAAAATCTTTTAATTACCCTATCATACTTTACTGTAATAAAAAGATATACATTTACTGAAATTTAACAGTTAAAAAATTTTTGTCACTAAAAACTTCTTTTTAACTGATTTAAAAACGTATTGCAGATATTAATAGTTATTAACTCTATAATGTAAAATAATATTGGAAATGTATCTCTTCAAATGATGTTTTCCCTTTTTATTCATTTAGTTCCCAGAATGATTACTTATTACTAGAATGAAACTTTCAGCAGGAATTTTCTTTTTAAATACTTTTTTAGATTTAAATACTGAGAAATCTTGGTCACATAATAAATAAATAGATGGAAATGGAAAGAGTGTTGCTATAGCATTGTCATTCACTTTTTTCCCTTTGAATTAAATGCCAGTAATCACATTTAAAAATTTTAAAAACAGAATACTCTCAGAAATATTTGGAAAAACTGAAATTTTATTAATTTCAGTATGCTTTTGCCAATAAACTTCTTTTTTTAAACTTTTCATATTTTGTGGTATTAGTGTATTTTCTTTAAAATGTTGGAGTATATATTTTTAGCACACTTAGTTTATGGGAAATGTCTAACTTACTTGACAGAGCCAGTCCACATAGTCAAATCAGTTAAATCTGACTTTTTACCTGTAAAAGTCTGTTAGTCTGTTTTCATTTCAGATATATATGTTAATTTATATCTTCATGACAGCGTTTCACTTCAGAATAGATAGAAAAATATGACTTTGATGTTAACTTGTTTCCTGGTTGTAATAAGGCACAGCGGATTTTGGCCTTTTTTTTTTTTTTTAAACCTATACCTGCTTTGACTTGTTCTCACTTGATTTTCTTCTAGGCTTAATGTTTCTCATGACAATAATTGGTATAGAAGATACAAAGCCAATAAAATACAATTTTTAATTGCTCTTGCCTTCTGCTTTTGTAAGATAGTTAAATTAAGAAAAACCCTTCTAACCCATGCTTCACTTTTAACATAAATATATATAAAACAGGGAAAGATGCAAAGCTTAAAGAGTCTTCTAGATATCCATGTTTCAAATTGTTCCTTGTAGGAAGTTTTTAGACCCTAATATGATAGATGAGTGTTAGGTCTTTGTAAAATGGAAGAAGGCTGTTGTGAAAGGGGACGTTGAAAAGAAAGTGTTGTATGATGCCTTTTCTACAGATAGGTTTTTAAACATCCATTTTAGGAAAGTGTAAAAATGGGGATTGTGGATTTAGAAGTTGATTTTCTTAAAACTTTCCATTCCTACTTATCCTTTGGAAAGTTTTCATATATCCCTGAAGTTTATGCAGTCAAACTTGTGAGAGCCTGAACTTGACATGACTGCCTTTTTTTTCTGGGGCTTGCAAGTTTTCCACCTTTGACAGTGTGCAGTCTTACCAATTTTCTATTGCTTGTTTTAGTGGAAAATATTTGAGTCTTCTTCTCTGACAGGTTTCCGCCTTACATGGTTCCGGCTTTCGCAGGCTGTACTGTATATCCCTGGATTTTGAATGGCTTTTGGGTAATATATGGGTCTAGATGGATCATTGGTTTAAACTAATTTAGTCCCTTTCTCCATTTGAAAATGAGCATGATTAAGAGCGTGATTAATCATTTATTTTAGTTCAAAATGTCTTAATATCACTTCTGTTTTGTAGAATAATCTTCTTTTTGCCTTTGGGCTTTTGTAGTTTCTTTGTACCTCTCTAGGTGAAGGATTCATGTCTTTGATCTGTTCTGAAAAAATTTTAGTAATTATCTCTGTGGATATTGCCTTTCCACGTTATTTTTTCTGAAACTCCTGTTAGACATGGTAGAACCATATTTTTTTTCCCCATATCTCTTAACATGTATTTTTAAAAGGAAATAAAGAAACTTTTCCTATGCCATATTCTAGGTAATTTCCCCAGCTTTCTCTTCCAGTTCACTAACTTCTATCTTCAGCTGTGTGTAATCTGCTGTTTAGTCCATGCATTGTTGTTGTTTTTTTTTTGTTTAATTTCGATTACATTTTTTCATTTGTAGAAGTTGTGTTGGTTCTCTTTCAAATTTGTGTGCTCTTTTCCATACTGTCTAGTTCTTTACTATTTCAGTTTCCATTTTCCTTTTAAAAATTTTAAGTGCTCTTAATATATGTTTTTGATGTCTTTTATCATTTAATAGATTCTTTCAGACTATTATGTGAAATTTTTAGGTGCTACACTTCCTAATTATCTGTTCTTTAGTTAAATTGATTATGTGTGATAACTCTGGGTAGAAGATATCAACATATTGATATTTTTTGCACATTTCACAGTCCCAATGAAATATTCATGTAACAGATATATATTGGGCACAGTGTTCTAGTTGCTAGGGAGTAAAACAGACAAATTTCTTTTTCCTTTGGAGCTTAAATTCTAGTAACTAGTTATGCTCCTTAGTAACTTAATGATTAATGTTATAAATACAGGAGTTGACTCATGGGCCAAATTCTGCCCACAACCTGTTTTTGTATGAATCATGAGATTGAATGGTTTTTACATTTTTTTAATGGTTGGGGGAGAAAAATCAAAAGAATACTATTTTGTGATGTGTGACAGTATTATGAAATTTAAACTCATGTCCATAAAATTTCACTGGAAAATAGCCATGCTCTTTTGTTTATGTATTGTTTATGGCTGTTTGGGGTGCTGCAACAACACATTTGAATAGTTGGACCAAGTGGAATAGTTGCAGCAGAGACCATGTGACCCAAAATGCATAAAATATTTACTGTGTAGCCCTTTACCAAAAAAACTTGTTTATCTCTGTTACTGTGTATTAACATTGTTTATACTGTGCAAACATATTCTGTAGATTGGTATCCAGTTAAAAGAAACTGACGGCTTTGTTAGGTAGGTGGCATATTCTACGAGTTAATCAGACAAAATATCAAATTCTAAACTTGCTAATAACTACTCGATAGGATTGTTGTGAGAATTACGTGAGCCTGTGTAATTCATATAAGGAACCCTGGTGACGCAGTGGTTAAGAACTCGGCTGCTAACTGAAAGGTTGGTGGGTCGAACCCACTAGCTGCTCCACTGAAGAAAGATATGGCAGTCTGCTTCCATAAAGATTTACAGCCTTGGAAACCCTGTGGGGCGGGTAGTTCTACTCTGTCCTATAGGGCACTGTGAGTTGGAATTGACTCTACAGCAGGGGTTTGGTTTAGATGTAATTCACATAGTGTGTGGTACTAGCAAATCTTCTGCAAATAGCTACATTATTGTTACTGTTAAATTCAGTATTACTGATCCTTTATAAACTGGTTTTTTTTTTCACATAATAATGTGTTTATGATTGCAGATCTGACATCAGTGAGGCCCATGTTTATAGTTGGTTTTATAGTCATGTGATTGTTTTGTGCTAATCCATCCATTCACAGTAGTTTTCCTGATGGTTTGCTTGCGTTAGCTCGAAAACTGTCTTAGAGTGCTAAAAGAGGAAAAAAAGAATGTTAACTGAAGTTTTCAGGGACCTCCAGATTGAATATGTCATCTTGGCTTTATTATTAGGAGTACTCCAGTCTATAAGATAATTATCCATAAATGGCTCAATTTTTGCTTATTTAAATCTTTTTTTCACCCAGATAATTTGATGTAGATCACCAATTAAGAACACAAATAAAATGATGGAAAATAAAAACTTAATGGAAGAGACAAGTAGAGTGCCAGGCATCTAAAATAATTTATAAGTTGTATTTTTTTTTGTACTTTAGATGACAGAACGAACTAGCTTCTCATTAAACAGCTAGTACACATATTGCTTTATGATATTGTTTAACAATCCCACAACATGTCAACACTCTCCCTTCTTGACCTTAAGTCCCCTATTACCAGCTTTTCCTGTCCCCTCCTACCATCTAGTCCTTGCCCCTCGGCTGGTGTACCCCTTCAGTCTCTTTCTCTTTTATGGGCCTGTCTCATCTCTGGCCAAAGGGTGAACCTCAGGAGTGACTTCGTTACTGAGCTAAAAGGGTGTCTGGGGACCATACTCTTGGTTTCTTCAGTCTCTGTCAGGCCAGTAAGTCTCGTCTTTTTTATTAGTTGTATTTTAATTCACCATTTATCTCCAAATTTTCTGGCAGCTGGAATTGTGTCCTGTGTGTTTGTAATTGTGTGATAAGAGAATCTTTACGAATTTCCATCCTATGATTCTCCTATGGAGCAATTTTTTTCTGGAACTATATTCTAAAGGTGTCACATATTGTAGGGGACCTTTTCTGAGGGAATTTGACAATACAATAAATGATATTTTTCATGTGATACCTAATTATCTGAAAGCTAGAAGTACTGGTTTGTTGTGTTGCTCAGTGAAGTGTATATAGCTTTTGATACCGACCTGTGGGCAACAGAATTGGGAAATTTAAGAATTAATTTATATAGATTCTCTCACTTTAGTAATGGGCTTTGGGTTGTTTGTAGCCATGCCCAAATGCTTTCTCAAAAAGAACTTTTGAGTATGTATAAGCGCTTGCTCAGAAACATGGCTGGATTAGCTGTTATGTGCCTATTTATTGGGGAATTTAATTTTGGCTCAGACTTTTCATGCCCAGCAGTACATGTAACCCACTGCCGTCAAGTCGATTCCAACTCATAGCAGTACACATAGCAACTGTGAACTTTTTCAGCCTCTGGGGTTTGTTGGGAAGCTGCTATACCACTGATAGTGCATGCTGCTGCAAGGCAGAGGCCTTTATGACTGTTTGACACGGAAGAAACGTGCGTGTGCTGCAAATTACTTTTTTTTACAGAGTATTGTATGAAGTGTCTGAATTTTTGATAGGAAAAACAAATTTTGAGAAAAATTTTGTTTATCGCACATATGTACCAATAGATTTGTTATTCAGGGTCCGTTTGGCATTTGTTATTCACTAACTTCAAGTAATTGATCTGATGTTTTAAATGGAGTTGCTGGATCCCAACCCAAAGAAATACTGGGATGTCTAAAATGTGGAGATTAAATTAGATATTGCTTATAAAGTAATTAGCGTAATGCCTATTCGAAAAAGTACTCTATAAATATTATTGTAGTTGTCTGGTATATAGTGGTGTGAGGATGATAAGACTTCATCTTACATACTTTGGACATGTTATCAGAAGGGACCAGTCCCTGGAGAAGGATATCATGCTTGGTAAAGTAGAGGATCAGTAAAAAGAGGAAGACCCTCAACATGATGGATTGGCAGAGTGGCCTCAAACATAGCAACAATTGTGAGGATGGTACAGGACCGGGCAGTGTTTCGTTCTTTGTATGTTATGAGTCAGAACCAACTCTGTGGTGCCTAACAATAACAACAAGTATAGTGAAATGAAATAATATGATTAATCTTTAATACTGGAAGCTTTGTGTCTTAGTTATCTAGTGCTGCTATAACAGAAATACCTCAAGTAGATGGCTTTAACAAAGAAAAATTTATTTTCTCACTGTAGTTAATGAGACAAGATTAGATTATGTTAAAGAGGATTAGGGTGGGATGTAACACCCTTGCTCAGGTCACATCCCTGATCCAATGTAAAAGGAGTTTCCCTGGGGTGTGGCCTGCACTACCCTTTATCTGACAAGACATGAAAGGAAAGAGAAGAGGGCAGAGAGTTGGGGATCCTATAGGACAGAGTAGAACTGCCCCATATGGTTTCCAGGGAGCGCCTGGTGGATTCGAACTGCTGACCTTTTGGTTAGCAGCCATAGCTCTTAACCACTATGCCGCCAGGGTTTCCTTCTCACAGTCTAGTAGGCTACAAATCCAAATTCAAGGCATCATCTCCCAGGGAAGGCTTTCTCTCTCTGTCAGCTCTGGAGGAAGGTCCTTGTCATCAATCTTCACCTGGTCAAAGAGCTTCTCAGGCACAGGGACCCCAAGTCTAAAGGACATGCTCTGCTCCCTGTGCTGCTTTCTTGGTGGTATGAGGTCCCCAACTCTCTGCTCTCTGCTCACTTCTCTTCCTTTCATCTCTTGTAAGATAAAAAGTGCAGGCCACACCCCAGGGAAACTCCCTTTACATTGGATCAGGCAAGTGACCTGACCAGGGGTGTTGCATACCACCCTTATCCTCTTTAACATAATCTAATCTTGCCTCATTAACCACAGGCAGAGATTAAGATTTATAACATATAGGAAGATCATATCAATGACAAAATGGAGGACAACCACACAATACCGGGTATCATGGCCTTACCAAGTTTTCACATATTTTGGGGGAACACCGTATAATCCATGACACTTTGCTTCCAGGATTGTTAACAGGGTACGTATCAAAATTGCCTAGAGCAGTGGTTCCTTCAGTTAGCAGCCAAGCACTTTAACCATGGCGCCACCAGTGCGCTTGAGAGTCTGAAAGCAGTTTAAAAGTCTTGTGCAGTGAATGGCGGGTTTCTTTATTGAGAAGAGCTTACCAAGAGGGGTCATTCTATTGTCATACTGTGATCTCCCTAATGTTGAATTGTTATTGATATGTTTATGGTACCATTTGCACCCATGAAAGTATAAGGGCATCCTTCTGTATTTACATAGACACGTTCTTGCTAAGACAAAAGTCCTTGTAGAAAAATATAAGTTGTGATGACGGCTGATTGCCGTATTTAGTTGTACTGTTCCATAGGCAGCAGTAAAGCTGTTAAGCAGAGAAAAAATGCTTATTTTTCACACTTTGGAGAAAGAGTTATCATATGATCCTCTACTCCCATATACCCTCTATTTTTTCCTTTTATTTTCTTAAATATGTGGAGATATTTCCAAAAAAAAAACAGAAAACACAATAAACACCCATGTTCCTACATATTTGTATTGTCTTTAGAAAATAAAGTATTAACAGTTGAATTACTTTTATGTTCATGTTACTGCCATCCCCTCTCTCCTATCCCCAGTAGCTTACACATATTTACTACTATTTTTTTTATGTTTATAAATGGATTTTCAAATAGTTGTTGGTAAGTTATTATATTATGGTGTTTATTGACTTATTAACATTTATGGATCTTTTTACAGTTAAATCGTCGATCTGAAGTTGTTGCTACTAGTTCTGGCGATTTCATCTTGAAGACATATGTAAGACGAAACAAGAGTGAAAGTTTTAAAACTTTGAAAGGCAACCCAATTGGACTTAACATGTTGAGCAACAATAAGAAATTGAGGTATAGGCTCTTTACCACACATTCCTACAGAAAAGATGGAGGGTTTGACACCAAAAGCTAACTACCTTTGAGGCCAATAGGCCCAACCTATACCTTTTCTTTTGAATTTGTCAGTAGGGCTAGGAGGTAGGGTGGTCCCAATGTATGGAATCTTTGCTTTGAATCTTGGGAGTAGGATTGATTGCAGTGATTTCTTGGTTCTGAATAAAAAATACCACAAGACACATTTCAGTAGGCGAGGATTTCATAAGATGAGCTTGCTTTCATACAGCTAATAAAGTCTTAGTCATAATAGTAGAAGACACTATAGGATGGGGTGGTCATGTCTCCTTTAGGGGATGCTTACCAAGATTATCTCAACAGGGGACCTTTTTATTGTTGTTGAGATGTCTTATTCCTCTTCTCTTCCAAACATAACCTACCTCTTCTAGTGGTTGTCATAGTGAACCACTGTAACTGATCAGATTGGCCTGGGGGATCTCCCAGATATAGGATTGAAAACCATTGTTTTATTTTTACCCTGTCAATTTATAGATAGAGAACTGAGATTCATAAAGGTTAAGTAACTTTCATGTCAGAGGCAGAATCAGAAGCGGAATTTAGGACTCCTGATTTCTATTCTAGTGTTCTACTCTTTATCTTCTTTCTTGAAATGAAATGGGAATATTTCAGAAACAAATTCAGGAAGTGGAAAACTAATGGAAAATTCATAATGGCCAGTTTGGTTTATTTATAAATAAATCTTTTTCTTTTTAATTGTAAAGTCTTTTTTGAGCTTAGAATTTAAAGGATTTATTTTGCATATGTGTTTGTAATTTTCCCCTATTCAAATTTATTTTCTGTTTCTTAAATCTGCAGTGAAAATACACAAAATGCATCATTATGTTCTGGAACTGTAGTACATGGTAGACGTTTTCATCATGCTAATGCACAGATATCAGTAGTAAAAACAGCAGCCCAAAGGTAAGGATTCTAATTGTTGTCTTTGTTTAGTATATACATATCATCCTCTTTCGTAGAAAGTTTTTACTTTTTTTAACTCATTTTTTTCTTTTGTGGAACTTCACTGTGTTTCCATTATCTGTAAAGAGATATTTGTATCTATGAAATAATTCATGTCCTAGAATTTCATTATATTCCGCATTTGCTTTTTAATCAATTATATTCTATAAGTGGAAAGTTTTATAATAAGAACCCCTTGTATTGTATTACATTCCAGTAGCTCTGAGAAGATATTTAAATGAAGCTGATTTCACAACATTGACAGATTTTCTTTACCTTTCATATAAGGTTTATAGGATTTCATAATATCAGAATAAATCACATTATTAGTTTTAAATGTTTGAGAAAAATTTATATTACAGTAATTTTCATGGATTTGAGTGTTCTTATTGATCTTGAAAGCACTGCTCGAACCTTGAAATAATGAAAGTAACACTTGGGGAAAGTGTAGTATTTTAAATACTTATGAGGTTTTTCAGAACATTTTTTGAAATGTTACATCCTTTTTCAGTTGGCTTAGAAATCCTTAGAGTCCAACAATTAAATAATCTATTTACTTATTACATTATAAATAGTTGAGGTAACTTTTTTGATAACCAGTAAAACTTAGAGATTTAGTGTATGTTTTAGGTGCTGTTCTTCAATTTTTAAAAATGTCAAACTAGGCTGTTAACTCATTCAGAAAATGTGTCCTGACTCTTAAAAACCCTTGCTATATTTGCTATTACATAGATTTGTTACAATATAGACTATTGCTTTAAAAACCTGAAATCTATCTCAGACTTTAGGATGGTAAGAAAACCTTTCTTTTGTTTAATTATGTTATTTTATCATAGTTTTCACATAAAATATTTGAGAAAATCAACTAAAAGCACAGGTATAAGTGCACATACCAAAGAAAAAGAAATGGGCTTGCCCTACTGCCAAAGTACACAGACAGATCAGTCTGTCCGGCCTTCATGTGACACAAACATGAAAATAAATAATAAAAAGAGAATAATTAGGGGGAGGGTAAAAAGGAAGACATACACACTTTTTTTTAATCACATACCGATCACCCTATGATAAAGTCCATCTATGATAAAGATGTCTTCATATACTGAAATTATGGTTTTTAAGGTAAAACGCTACTTTATAATTTACAGCCAAGTTAAGTGATATATTTTACAACCAAAATTATTATTATTTTTGACATTTTCTCTTAGTTTGGAATTATTTGCACTGTGACCTATTGTCTCCATCCCTCGTTTCTTTATTGGTAAGATTAAACTGATTCTAGTATAGAAATTGGTTAGTGTGCCTATCATGCACTATAGTAGGTCTCTGCACTTATTGTACCTTGCATGTGTATCATCACTCATCTGCATAAAAGATTAGTTTCAGTTAATAGGAACTAATATTTACTAGTAAAATATTGTTTCTTAGGGGGAAAAAAAAAACTTGAATTAATTTGTATTTTAAAAAATGATCCTGAATGAAAATACTCCATGGGGCAGTAAAAGAAACAGTAAAGAGTCAAGTGTCAAGTTAGCAGGGCAGATTCTACTTATTGTTTGTCTTTTATTTATTCTGTATAAGAATAACCATTTCTTACTCCTACTGCAGTGTAACTGTCACTAAAAAGATTTTGAAGTTGAAAAACAAGTTATTGAGAGGCTTTCCATTTTCTTACTCCAAAAATATTAAGTGATTTAATCCTACATACCAGGCATAGATGAGGTGCGGAATATTCAAAGGTGAATGTGACAGAGTCCCTGCCTTTGGAGCTCAAGTTTGATTAGGGTAGAAGACAGAAAGACAAGTAAACAAATGATTACATGGTAAGTGCAGTAGTAGAGATACACAAAGTATGTGTAGTAATAATAGAGCGAAGGGAGCACGAAAGAACTCGAAGTGGAAGAGAACACGCCATCATTGCAGTAGGAAACACATCTTCAAAGGCACGAAGAAAGCCTTCATCAAGGGTGGTTGCTACCAAGTAGTTGATTTTAATTAGTGTAGTATTGGCACAATTGTCAGATGTCAGGTGAAAATGAATACACTAGTTTTTACAGCTTCTTTCTCCTAATTTTTTTTCCAACTCTTAATTTAAAATTCAAGGAAATAATACCAGTTGGTAATTCACACACTCAGGTTATGCTTTTTTGGGGTGAGTGCTATAATTTGGTTTCTAAGTAAATTAGACCTTCTTTCTGAGGAATGTGTAATTCTTTAGTAAAATGGGGGAACAAGTGCTTCACACCTGTTTATCTAATAGGAATGAGTGAAGATTGCTTGCATATCAGATCAGATTATCTACTGAGATTTGAGAGAGAATTAGAATTCTACCCTTTTCCCTTAATATTCTAAATGCTAATTTAATTCATATTTAAAAGGTGTTCATATACCACTTAGTGATGGAGGAATATTATTAGTATAGAAAAATAAAATGCAGAAGTTTAAGAACCTATATAATCATATTATCTCTGCCCCTAATTTTGATCAGATGTGTTAAAACAGCACATTTTGCTGATTTATGTTTTATTTATATTTCTTTCACATACTTTTTTTAAATGACTTTTTATTAAGAATAGAGGAAAAGACTGTAAGGGACCATAGGGTAAAATAAAAGTCTATAAAAGCATATGTAGTCCATAAATGGGAAAATAGGCTCTAGAATAAGCAAGATTTAATTAACAAAAACCACGATTTTGAAAAAAATTTTCAAGTCTTAAATCAAGTCACATATACAAGAATCATCCTGTTCTTCCTCCCTACCATTCTTGCTCCTTCCTTCTTTCGTTTTTTAACTTGCAAGAGCACTAGTACACCTGAGTTCAAGGTAATTTTTATTTTCCTCTTTGTGTGAAATAGCCCAATTAGAATGTAAGTTGACATTTTTACAAAGTCTTACGTTACTCATCATGGCTTCTTGCTCATTTTTTTAATAAGTTTTTTTTTTTTTTTTTTTAGTTTACTACGTTAGCTCCTCTAGGGCAAGGCTTGATAATAAATCCATGTTGAGGATTTTTGTATAAGTACTATGACTTATAAGTTAGATAGCATATTATAATAAATGTATTTTTCTCAAAGATAAGAAAAATGAGCATGAGTGTAAT